CTTCGGTAGTTGCCACTGTGTGAGGAGTTCCAGCTGGCTGTGTGCAGAATAAGACTGCAGAAACATGAAAATATATCACAGAATTATTATTATTTTGAATCTGAAAAAGGTTGCAGACTGTATGATTTTAACAGATGCTTTATTATTCCTTAAGTGAAGGGCCGTCAGCGACCTCACGTACGTAGGTTTCTGCTTTGTACACATAATTACTCCATTAGTTTCTACTCTGACCTCGCTTTTTGAATCGCGGCACTCTCCCGACGCAGATTGCTCCATAATGCATCCGCCTCTATGTATACTTGATGCTGTAACTCGTTTACAATGCGTTGTAATATGCATTCTTCATAACGCCGCTTCCGCTCCGAGCTGCCAAGATGGATGCTTGCCAACATGTTTGTGCACTCTCAGCTGGCACAGAGATGCCCATCAAACTCTCGTTCTGTAAATAGTGTGAAAAATCTCCTTGTCAGCAAATATCAACGGTGCTCGAGTGCTGTCGAAGCGAGGCCTGGACGCGATCGTCACGAGGGTTGATGATGTGCGGCAAGTGACGGAGGCAGGTGAGGATTCCGCCTATGGCAGGGGTCGGCAACCCGCGGCTCTTTCATCCCTCTGCTGCGGCGCCTTGTGGCCTTGGAAAATAAATAATGAGTATTTTAGTTTAAATTTGTTTTATTTTAGCTTGTTAGTTTTTAAAATGTAATTCTAAATTTGGAGATTTTTGTGAACGTGCTTTATTTTTTTGTTGCTCAAAATATGCGTCACAAACGCCAATGTGCGACATCCGCCGCCACGCTTGGTGACTTTCTCGCTAAATCTGGCGACTTTCCAAATCCTCTTGGTGACTTTTTTTTGACTAGCAACAAATCTAGCGACTCTTTCTGGTGTTTTGGAGGCTCTGATGTAAAAACACATATCGTTACTGTCCTCAACGAGCAGCAGTGCTGCCGTGAGCTCCTCCCGTCCCAAAGCACTCACAGGCGGTCAGCAGTCTGGTCAGCAGTCCCAGCTGCAGTCAGCAGGACAACCAGACGGCATTTTTCTTTTGGTGGATGTTTTCAGTTTAGGTTTTTCTTTTTTTTTTATAAGTGTCATTGTAATTGATATGTATTTTTTTTTTTTTATTTAACGTTCACCTTCGCGTCTTTTTTTTTTTTTTTGTTGTTGTTGTTGTTCATGTTTTTTTTGTTGCAGTAATGTTTTGTTTTTTTTTTTTCAGTTGTTTGTTTTTTTCAGTGCTGCACCCTTTTGTTGTTTTTTTCTTCGTATCCTGGTGGTAACGATGTTTTCTGTTTTTTTTTTTTTTCTTTTCGTTGGTTTCGAGTGTTTTTTTTTTTTTGGGAAACGGGTCCAAATGGCCCTTTGAGTGTTTAAGGTTGCCGACCGCTGCCCTCCAGGAATCAGACAGCATCAACCTGCACTTCTGCTTTTCCATAGTTAATATTTATCATCTGCATCTTGAACTATACAAAAACACTTCAAAGCGTCTGATCACATTCCACCACCCTGCTCTCTGCTCTGTCTCATCACAATTTGTCCCCTTTAGCTGCAGCAGGTGCTGCATCAAAGCAACGCAGCACAGCGGGGAGACCGACACAAGGAAATGCTAGTTCCTATTCATGCGCTGTCCAGCTACACACACACACACACACACACAGAGACACACACACACACACACACACACACAGAAGCAAGCGAGAGAGAAAAGATCTAACAGCCTATCTTTGGCCGACTGTAGCGCTCGCCCACATAAATGTCCGCTTGGCTCTGCTCTGATCACATAATTGCTCTGCGCACACCTCTCCCACACACACACACACACACACACACACACACACACACACACACACACACACACACACGTCCACAGAGAATACACTGAAGCGGCACTCAGGGAGTTCACACATACGTACTCTCAAAACCTGGATATGTGCAGCTCCCACACACACACACAGTCACTGTTCAATATGGCAGAGAAGCGTTCGCACATGCAGGTTCGCCCGCCGGCGTACGAGCGCACACGGACGCCGAACGCCGAACCGAAACTCCCACCAGCTCACCCACACACAGTCAGTGAAGAGCCAGACACGCAGACGTGCACGGGAAAGAAAGGTGAAAGCTGAGGCTGAACGATGAAGCCCACCCTCACCAAGCACAATACAACTAAATCCTGTTGTTTTTTTTACGTCTGTTTGTTAGTTTAATCCCGTTTTCATGTCATATAAGTGCAGCTTGGACGTTAGTCAGCGTGTTATTCATGTCGACAACTTGAGCGTGACCTGGACGATTCTGGCAAATGTGACTTTCACCCAATCGATGAATCTGTCTGTAGATGACCCCGGCGTTTGACCTTGTTTCAGAGAGAGGTGAATGACGAGCAGGATTTCCCTACAAGCGTCTCACTCCTACATGAATTATCATAAATTTGCTAAAATGTTTCTGCTTTTTGAGGTTTTTTTTTGTTTCCTCTGTGAAATATTAAAGCCCCTAAAAAAACTTGACTCTAAAAACTTTTTGGAGTGTTTCTCTGTAGCGTTAATTATTCATGATCGGGGCACTCTGATAACGGGATGGACGAGGCGCATCGCCGCAACGTCCCTGGTTCAAGTCGGTCCTTTGTTGCATCTCTCTCCTCATATTTGCTTTTAGCTGCATCACTTTGAACTATATGACTGCGGCAAAAAACAACGAGAAGAAACGACTTTAAAGGGTCGCGTGTGGATCAGCGACGATCATCAGGTGTTAAAGCTGACGTCTTGGGAAGTCCTTTGACTTGTTAAGGAGATGAGGTGATTGATACGATCAGTAATGCCTGGAAAATGTGTTGATAGTTAGCATAGCTTAGCACAAAGACTGCAAACAGTTAGATGCAGTGACGGCACTTAGCTTCTCTGTAGACGACCATTATACAAGAGGCTTCTGTGATTTTTTTGACAGAACTCCTGGACCGATAAAAAAAAGGCTGATTATTTCTTACTTATTTTGAACCATTAGGGCCAGTTTTATACTTTCCATATCATCAGTCCGTGCAGTAATTGCGCTATAAGGGCAATAACTAGTGCCCTGCAGCGCTGTGCATGCACTGAACATATAGACACAACTTACTGCACATGTGTGGAACCGAGTCCTCCAATTGGACTCCAAGGGACAAAAAAAAATCTATGCGTCCTTGGTGGCTGCAGATGTCAATGTATGCCTCGGCGAGGGAGAATAATAATAAAGGTTTTATATTTGTGAAATGCTCCATATATAAAATACAGACAGAGTCAGCAGGAGAAACCCTGAAATCCATGTGCAACCACAGACATTTGTTAAATATCTAGTTCCTATAATACATCCACTACAATCCCATTTCTTTCAACCATGCAAAACCAAAATGTAAAAACTTAAGTTGTCTATTTTGCAGGGAGGGTTAATTTCTGAGTCATAGCTTCATTGAGTCTCTGCTACCAAACGGATTGTGTCACTCAGAGCCAGACTAATTCTTTCCCTCCAATTTCCATTCTTAATGCCGCGCTAAGCTATGCTAAGCTAACCAGCTGCTGGCTCCAGCTACAGACTTACTACACAGACATGAGGAGCATCAGTATCCTGAAGTAACCGAAACTCTTAGAGGGATGTTTTGGAGTTTCGGAAATAAGTTGAACGCTCAAAATCATCCTACCAGATGAATTTAAAAGTGATTCAAATGCAGCTAAATTACTGAAATATGTGCCTTTGTCTTCTTCCAGCTAAGTCTCATAAAGAACACAAGAAAAAAACATAAATTCTGACGTGAAACAGGAAAGAAAAGTATGTATTTTTTTTCTAATTAGTTTGATCATGCGGCATCCCATCAGCCAGGAGACACGAACCTCGACGTCTTCCCAGAGCTGCACGAGGCGCCGTAATGCAATCCTGAGATGCTGAGTGTGTGTAATTACAAAGAATCCCTAAAGGATTGTTATGGTTGCCCTCAAATTCCCTCGATTAAACCACCAGGACCGACACTTTCACTTATGAGCAGGCGCCACGGCGAGATGGTATTACATTACGGGGGGAATCAATTCTAACTGGATTGTTATAATTAGATGACCTGAGTTTGCTAAAAATCGCTAAGTAATTTTCTGTGTTTTTATCATTTTCAGGCCCTGGCAGGGGTGTGTGACAATAAAATTACAGATGCTGTTGGTAATATTCATAATTACGGATTGTAAAACTGCAGATCAGATGTTTTATTCAAACACAAAGGCGGCACAGAGGATGTACGGCGCACCGCCACATCACACGTGCTGGCTGTACAGTGTCACACAAAGCGCTACCGAGACCCCATACATCAATAGCCCAATCAAACTCTCTCCGTCAAGCCGATCAGCGAGACACAACAAATCGATTATGAATAAAAGACCATCAGCAGATCTGTCATCAGCTGGCCCGCTGATACACAAATGAGCACAGCGGCTGCAACAATGACAGCAGCAACAGTCAGACGGGCCGATCATTACACCCCCTCAGCAGCAAAAAAAAGAAAAAGGAGAGGCATGGAAATGGAGAGAGACAGCCATCTGAGCTCCGAGATAGAGTTTGGAGAGGAGTGTTATCTGAGAAAAGCAGAGGTGGTGATTGTGAAGAAAAGAAAGAAAGAGAACGTGGCTGGAGCAAAGTAGAAGCGCATATCCATTGCATCGAGTTAAGAGACGCCAGCGCATCAGAAGGGACGAGAGCAGAGGAAGATTGCTCGGGAAAATCAGAGAGAGAGTATTTGACAGCAAGAAGGGAAGAACGAGGAGGAGTGGAATGAGAAAAAGACAAGAGGTAGCATTATTGAGAGAAGACAGAAGAGCAATGAGAAAGAATGGCAGTGAAACAAAGACAGAAAAACAAAGGGAGTATCAGTAAGTCGACAGAAAGCTCCAAAAATAATGATTAAAAAAAAAAGAGAAAGAAAGCCTGGGAACTTTCAAGGAGAGAAAAAGCTTCTTTTTCCAGCAACAACAAACAAGCGAGGCTCTTCATCCTACCTGAGTTCCTCTTGGAGATGTACTTGACGTCGTCACAGGCTCCCGAGGTGAGGAGGAGGAGGAGGATGAAGAGCAGGGATAAAGTCTTCATCTCTCTAGTCTCCACTGGCACCTTGAGGAAAAACAGAGGACAGAGTGTGAGAGACGATACGTCAGCGTCGTTCAGATTCCCGTTTACAACAAGCGAGCGTCAACATCCCTTCGACAGCTGACATGTGAGTGTGTTGAAATCGTCCGACTGTCGTCCTCACGAGCTCATCGCACGTTTTGAAGAAACTCAGACACTAAAAAAGAGAAATTCCTAAATTCTCGAGCACCAATGGAGAAATGATACTTGGTGTGTTTCTGCCAACGTAGAATCAGTTCAATCCTGGTTTGCAAACCCAAGTTTAAACCTTTCAGTGTGTCGCTATCAAAAGAAAGAACTAAATAAAAGAGAAGGTTCAGAACTGGAAAAGTTGGCTCCGTTAAATAAAACATAAAATAGTCGGACCTGAAGCACGAACCGAGACAATGTCATCAGTGGGTTAATCTAATCTGGAAGGAAAAACTACAGTTGGAAATAAGACAGCAGATAAACAATGCTAGGGCTGCTGTCTAGTTTGGTTTCCCCTGACCTTGATCCACTGTAAGAGTATATTAAAACATACAAATGTGTTCCATTGTTATAGTGGAACAACGGTTCTGCTACAAACTGGTGGAAATGTGGGAATAGAACCGCTTCTAAAATCAGAACTTTTCACATGAAAAAGCAACAAGTGTGACATGACCACAGCAGTAGAACAGTGCTCAACACAGAATAAGTAAAGCCGACTCTGAGCAAAACCTGAGGGCGTTACTATCTACCTTTTAAATTTGGACTTTTCTTCTTCTTACCAGTCGCTGCCATGTGACCAAATTTGCTATAAGAGGCCACTGCAGCTACAAACACACAACAGTTAAACCAACAAGTAATAAAATAAACTTGTCCTGCAGGTGGTTGAGGCGACATCTGTATTGTTGAAAGACTTTGACATAGAGATGGGATGTTTTTCTTTTCTTTAGTTATCATCAGCAATGCGGGGACCAATATTTTGTAGTTTCCAGTAGCTTTTTTTGTTTGTCAATCTGTTTGTGGAGGGGGCTGCAAGGTGGATCAGTGGTTAGCATTGTTGCCTCGCAGCTAGAAGGTCACTGGTTCGCTTCACGGTGAGGACACCCGGGATGTTTCTGCGTAAAGCTGAAACAGTATGTATACCTGCTGTGTTTAAAGATGACCGTTTGGTAACCCAACACACAAACAATGTGCTAAACAAACACAAAAATTGATCTGCCAACAGTTTACTGCTTCACTTCCTCCTCACGCACATTCACAAGAACTCAGATTAATGCATTTAAAACTAAGAATCTAGAGCCACATGTTGCTTTTATTTTGGATTTTCCTGCAAAATTTCAAGAGGAACCATAAATAAACAGTTTCAGATTCATTGTTTCCTCCACTGAACCAATACCAGATCACACTTTAACCACATGTTAACACTTCCTGCCTTTATCCGCCTTTAAAAGCTAGAAATGAAAAGAATAAAGAGACGATCAGGTCAACCCCCCTCCCACCGAGCACGCTACGACAACAGAGAAACAAAGCACTTTATTACAGCGCTGACAGCAAGAACAGCAGAAAAAAATATTAACATTGATCTCAAACACGGGTTCGGCGGGGGGCTCAAAAAAACATCTATTTTTCAAATGATTAAAATCAAAATACTGGAACTAAATTAGATTCGACCACCGGCCATGAATGCAAAAGGCTGCAGAGGCGGCGACACAAACACACACTGTTTGAAATGTGAACTCACACCAACACTCTGGTCATGGTTGTTGTGTGCAGACTGTCGTGTATGCATGTCGCACACACTCACAGGGAAAGATCGAAGAAGATTAGTCGTGCCAGCAGTCACTTCATTGTTGTTTTTTTTCATACGTAGGACAATAAAAGGGAACTTCAGTCAGCTTGAGTCCTGATTGAAATCACATTAGATTGAACAGTGGGACGGCTGATGACAGCACCTAGGATGATATACGAGCCACTTGTGGACTTGTTTTTGAAGATGTACAGTCGAAAAATGGGCCGAGAAGACAATGAGAACAAAGCCAGAAGAAGGAAAAGAAGATGACGAGTGCTGCCGCTGCTGGATATTACTCATCTCTGCTTTATTTTGAGGCATCCTGCATGTCGACGCAGTTTATTTAACACAAGATGAGGTTAAAACAGTCAACAATAATGATTTCAAATAAAAGTATGCAGGGCACATCTTAGGGGCTGTAATTTCTCCAACGAGGGTTTGTTGAGGAAAAGCCGTAAATCACACAAAACCAAACAACAAGCTGTCCTCCCAGCAAACGTTTTGACACATCCGTCACAAAAGGAAGCGCGCAGGTGCAGCTAATAAGGCTAATGGTTGCTAAATTCTGCGGTAAGCCACACGGCGCCGGGCCACCGCCACCAGAACGCCGACCTGGAGCGGGTCCATTGTTGTGATCTTCTACCGGAGCAGCTCGACTCCTGGTCAGAAAGTTTAACGGGAAACTAAAGCACTTCACTTCTATGTCATTAAACAGCTGAAAGACTTGATGAACATTTTCTTTTTGTACCAATGCGACGCGGTGCTCCCACTGTTTAATGAAAACAGCTATTCTCTTAACAATGAAGCCGAAGCCTTTAAGAAGCGCCGTTTAATTTTCTCTTTGTTGACTCCAGAACAATGAAGTGAGTTCTCTTCTTTCTCTCTTCACCTGCTCTTAGTTTATGACTAAATGACACGACAGGTAATTTAAAGCTGACATTCAAGGACATGGTTTATTTTTTTATTTTTGTTCAGTTCATTTTGTGCACTGAAGCACATCTGCTCTGTAAATATAGAATAAAATGCTGCGTCAGAGCGGCTGTATTTTATTAAAAAAATGGATTTAAAACCAATTTTTAAAAATGAATAGATTCAGCTCTTGTTTGTTACACAAAGGCCCTTAAAGACAAAAATGTTCACTTAAGAATATTATATATAAATACTATTTTCCACTTGACCGAGTGATTTCTTTTCTTTAACCATCATGAGTCTGCATCATATCTACTAAATAAATAAATAACAAATACTAAACACTCCTTCATTTTTAGGGTTTTAACCTTTTAAATGCTGCTTTGTTTACATGATGCAATTTTTTATTTAATATAAAAAAATAAAAAAATGTATAAAAAAAAAAAATACCAAGGGGATTTTCTATTTTTTTTTAAATTTGGATAGTGTCAGATAATAATAATAAAAATAATGATAATGATAATAATAATGTGTTTTTACAAAAAGCACTTGCACTAAGGACCTTAACACCAAAATATACTGCAATAACAATCTATATTAATATTGTTATATATTTTTTAGCAAACATCATTAATTTTCAGGATTTTCATCCTTTAATTACTGCTTTGTTTACATGTTGCCACTGTTATTTTTTTATTTAAAAAAAAACAACAAAAAACACAAAAAATACTTATTTTCATATAATAAATGTTTAGTGATTTAAAAAAATAAACTTTTTTGTTGTCACAGTCTGGGATATGTCAGTGATTAGCAACAGCATCGATTCTGTTTTAAAACAAACAAACAAAAAAAAAACAAAACACAGAAACCACGTACACTTAGGACCTTAAAGACAGTTTCCTTGCGAAAACACTTCAATAAAAACATACATTAATATTTATTTCTGTTGCCCACTGACTGACGTTTTAACCAACACCAGCCCTGGTCACACTGCTACGACCAAATATTGATTCATTTCAGGATTGTGACCCTTTAAGCAGGAGATTGTTCTGATCTGCGTTTAGCTGCTCACATGACACACATTCAATGATTGGATGTCTCTTCCTAAAATTGGAAGTCATCTTCTTTTGTAATTTTTATCAGCTTGTACCTTTGATGTCGACGATACCAGATATTAGACCCAGTAGACACAATCAAACCACTGAATGAAGCAGTCAGGTATCATAGGAACAATCACACTGAGTCAGACGGCTGCTACACAAAGACCAGACCTTGAACAACAACTCACATTAACTTTCCTGCTAAAGTCTCCTTCTTATCCAACATCTGCACCTTAATCTGTTGAAGGAGTCACCAGGAAAAGTTCGCTGCTCATATCAGGTTGGAGGCTCGTCCGCTAATTAGCTGCAGCACATTTAGGGTTAAATTCACCTGCAAACCGTCACTCTGCAGTCAGATAACACACGTTCTGCTCACAGACTGTGAGCTGCAGTGACTTTGTTGTTTCTGGTTGTCCTGAGCTCAGCCTGCAGTCTGCTGTCAGTCTGAATGGACAGTGACGCTGAACGGGCCCTCCAGCCAGCTGACAGCAAACCGAGTGCTTCTGACATTTTCCCCAAAAAACTGTTGTCCTCCTCCTCATGATAGAACAGCTACAAAGGTACCATTAAAAACAAACAAACAAACAAAATGCAACGATTTCTGTTAAAGTTTAAGCCAAAGAAATCAAGAGATATGAAATAAACCACTCCTCCATGTGGAACAGAAACAGCTCTGACTCCTAAATAAATCACATATTTCCTGTCCTAACACTTGCACTGCCTCTACATGAGCATTAAAGGTGGTTGTTATCACATTCATGTGGGGTAGAATTTCTATACATAGAAGTGACGATACAGTTCACAGTTTCAGCTTCAAACGTGTTGTAGAAGGGTTGCACCCAAACCATGACGCCTTCGTAAAGGTAACCAAGTAGTGTTGGTGTCTAAACCGACCCGAACAGAGAGTGAAAATGGTCCCACATGGGTCACAAACCCCAGTTTCTTGGGTCTAAGTCAGAGTCATGCCACCACCACCAGCATCCATCCAACCTCCAAACTTTGTGGCTCTTTGAAAACCTTTCCTACGACATTACAATACTACCTTACAGGGAGAAAATGTGTTTCCTCCATTAAAACCAAGAATACAGTTTAGTTGTACAGGAACATAATGTTAGGACTCTGAGGTTGCACTACGATGGTCTGGGGTCAGATGTCTTTGTGATATCGACGTAAATGTGAGAGAGAAGTGGTGGGAAAAT